CGTCCCCGGCCCAGGCCTGCAATTGGAGGGTGATGGGGGTCAATGCCTGAGGGCTCCCAGTATGTGAGAGGGGGCAGTCTGGGCTGAGGGACACCCCCCCCACACACACCCAGTGCACGAATTTCGTGCACCGGGCCCCTAGTTAATAACAATGTACCTACCTATATAGTTTAAGTTTAAAAAATTTGGCTCTCAAAAGAAATTTCAATCGTTGTACTGTTGATATTTGGCTCTGTTGACTAATGAGTTTGCCGACCACTGTACTAGGCTATAGGAATTTTTCAGTTCCATTATGTTATAGAACCACCTTCATATAGGCAGCCTGATATTGATCAAAATGTTGTCATATGGCACATTTTATATTCTGTAAACTATATGTACTATCTTCTACTTGTTTGGACACGCCTCACAGGAAAGAGTTAGAAGACTGAGTCCTTCTTTAGCAGGGTAGTTTCAGACAGGTTAGGACTGACTGGTGCCCAGTTTATATTGACTATTGTCAATGTTTTGAGCATAACCAAGTGAGCCAGCCTGGCAGAGTGGGGCACTTAGGAGCTGGATTTAGAAGCTTCATCCTCTCAGACTGGCTGGGGCTCTAATGAAGGCCCACCTTTCAGAAGGTGGCCTAAAGGACCAACTCCTGGCCCAATTATCATCTTTCTTGGATCTAGACTATTCATTAAAGGTGAGGTCAGTGCCCTGGCTGGGTAGCTCAGTTGGTTAGAGAGTCATCCCCATACACCAAGGTTGTGGGTTTGATCCCTGGTCAGGGCACATATAGGAATGAACCAATGAATGTATAGATAAGTGGAACAGCAGATCTCTCTCTATATATATATTTCTCTCTTTCTCTTCCTCCCTCTCTTCTTCCCTCCATCGCTCTCCTCTCTCTCAAATCAATCAATAATTTTTTTTTAAAAAGGTGAGGGGGGAAAAAAAAGGTGAGGGGCCAAACTGCCAGATTTGTTGATTTATTCTAACTACCTCTAGCCAATGGAAAGAGCAGGGTTTTAAGGATGTCTGAGAAGTTTTAGTTGATCAGCTTTTGTGAGGTCTTCATCAAGACACAAAACATAGTTAACTTGTTTTTGCTCAGTGTCCTATTACCTTAGCTAGAGAGGCAGGGCAAGAAGTGGGGAGGACCAAGGGACATTAATACATTCTCAGTCACAACATTATATGTAAATAACATTTCATAGACAAGAACTTAGACTAGATGAATGTATTCTCCCATGAATATATACTCTTTAAATAGAATTTTGAACATGTTCTTAGTCTGATCACTTACATCCCACAGGGCCTGCCTTCCCTCCCCTTGGAACTCCTGAGGGACAGGGATCTCCATACTGAATCTTTTCAGTCTTGGAAGAATCACTTTGATTTCCTGATTGAGCATGGGCTATGGAGAAAGACAGCCATAGGCAAGATCCTAGGCCTGCACCTACTAGCTGTGTAACTCTGGCTATAAAATGGGTTAAGGAAGGGGATACTACTGGGATGGCATAAGGATAATCCCCAGCAAAGAATTAGCCTCCAGCAATTGTCACTGTTGCTTATTTTCCTGTCAATGTCACCAGTGCTCATCCTGTCCTCTCATAGGATTGGCACCCTGATTTCTTTTTGGGGACCAGCACTCATCTAATGCCAGTCCTCCAGGATCAGGAGCGGAGGTAGGCGGTGGCTGGGCACATGAGCGTGACCGGGCCAAAGAGAACCCTCTAAAGCCCTGGCACCAATAGCTGATCTGTAAAGGGCAGGTGCCTCAAACCAGCAAAAGGGAAGTCGGTTCCAATTTCTGCCAAAATGGATAGGAAGAGGGGAGATCTCTCTCCAGTGGCCCAGTGACAACCAAGATCCTGCCCTCCAGAGAAAAGCATAGCTAACAGAGGGAAAGAGTCCTAATAATTTAATTTTTAAAAATTCAACCTTTGGCTCCAGCTGTGTCTGAATCTAGAGTTTGTTTCTCCCTTTTTTTGGTCTAAGCTGAAGAGTTTTTGCTGTTACTTGCAGCCAAAGGAACCCATTAAATGAGGTGGTGGAAGTGGGAGGGAAGGGACTCACCTGCAAATTTGATGGCCGTGATGGAGGAGGAGTGATCATCCAGGGTCTGCTCCAGGTTGTAGTTCTTCTCCACGTTCAGCACATGGATCAGTCGGTCCCGACTGGCCGAGGCAAGCAAGGTAAGCCCTGTGAGTGGAGAGGGTGGCCCTGGGTTCCCCGGAGACTACTTGATGCCTTGGCCTCCTAGAGAGCAGCATGGCTGAACTTTCCAGTCTTTGGTTCCAGCAGACATTGTAATAGAGCCCAGCACTCCTTCCTACACCTTGGCATGCCAGGTGAAGCCCTATTAACTTCTCAGCTTCCCCCAAACACTGCCCCTTCACTCTCTGAGCTCTGACTACATGGGCCTTGTCCAGGCCTTATTGACTACCAACCCACTGCCACACTTCCTTCTATCACTAGGCCTTCCCTGCTGGACCCTTTATTTATTTATTTTTAAATATATTTTTATTGATTTCAGAGAAGAAGGAAGACAGAGAGAGAAATAGAAACATCAATGATGAGAAAGAGTCATTGATCAGCTGCCTCCTGCATGCCCCATACTGGGGATTCAGCCTGCAACTCAGGCATGTGCCCTGACTAGAAATCAAACCATGACCTCCTGGTTCATAGGTCAACGCTCAACCATTGAGCCACTCCAGCCAGGCCCTGCTGGCCCCTTTAGACAGTGCCTACGCTGTTCACCTAGTACATCTGAGGTCTAACATACGACTAGAGGTGGAAGGGAACTCAAGAAAGATAAACTGAATAAAGAGAGATTCAAAGAAAGTTTAGTGGGCTAGAGGGTGCCAGGGAAGGAAGAAGGAAAGAAGAGCATGGGAAAGATCATTAACATATGAGGATATACCTCTGCCTAAGTTACATTTCTACCAAGAATGTATTATCGAATTCAATTTATGAGGAAAACAGACAAACCCAAATTGAAGGAAACTCTATAAAATGATTGGTCTAGCCCTGGTTGTGTTTCTCAGTGGTCAGAGTGCTGGCCCATCCACTGAAGGGTCGTGGGATCAATTCCCGGTCGAGGGCACACACCTGGGTTACAGGTTCGATCCTGGCAACCAATAGATGCGTCTCTCTTATATTGATGTTTCTCTCTCCCCTCTCTCTCTTTTTTCTCTCTCTCTCCCTCCCTCGTTCCCTCACTCTTTCTCTCATGTGAACCTGGATTGGAAAAACAAAGGTGCTAAAAGGACAATATTGGGACACCTGGCAAAATGTGAATAAGGACCATAAGATAGATGACAATATAGCATCAAAATGAAACTCCCACATTTGATAAGCCCTAGGAAATGCTCACAGAAGCATTTAAAGGTGAATGGGCATCATACCTACAATTTACTAGTACTCTCAAATAGTTTAGTAAAAAAGAGAATGTATATGCTATTATTTTATTACATGTGTGTATATATACACACAAACACAGAGAGAGAAATGGAGAAAGGGGAAGCAGATAAAGTCATTATACAGTCACAGAGTCAGACAGAATTTAAAAGAAAAAAACGTGGAGAATCTAACTAAAGAGTATGTGGGTGTTCATTATAATATTCTTTTTTTTTTAATTGATTTTTTACAGAGAGGAGGGGAGAGGGATAGAGAGTTAGAAACATCAATGAGAGAGAAACATAGATCAGGTGCCTCCTGCACACTCCCTAGTGAGGATGTGCCTGCAACCAAGGTACATGCCCTTGACCGGAATCGAACCTGGGACCCTTGAGTCCGCAGGCCGACGCTCTATCCACTGAGCCAAACTGGTTACGGCCATTATAATATTCTTGTAATTTTTCTGTAGGCATTAAACCTTTTTGAAAACAGCATGTTTAACTATCAATCTATCTTCATTAGCAGAGGATGAACTTATTCATACATTCGGCATTCACCTCTTCGGGGACTGGGCACCAGGGTAAGCAAGTCAAGTCCAGTCCTGCCTGCCAGTGCCTTGCTTTCTGGAGTCCTAGTCACCTTGGTCCCAGGGCCCAAGACAGGGGCCCTTATTAAACACAGGACTTCCAGCTGTCATTCAGAGTCCTACCAGATACCAATTACCCCTCTATGTGGCTCTGCCGGGGGGGGGGGGCACTCCCCTGCCTTCCCCCTGCCACCCTCCCATGGGCTCACCAGTCTCAGGCTTGGAGTACTCCAGGCATAGCACCTCAGCATCATGGGCTTCCATCTTGACCAGCTCATCCATGAAATGCAGCTCATGGATCCTGGGAGACATACATTGACTGCTATACCCTTCTCAGAGGGCCCTCCCACCCCTGCTCCCACCCCGGGCACTCTGTCATTGCCAGGCAGGTGACATGGAGAACTAGTTTAGAGATACCCAACCACTGTTATCATCTAGAAACATGTCATCTTAAAGGAAATGTGGGAGTATCACAGTGAGCACCCAGCCCTTTGTGGTTCCACGGGCCAGATCTAGGACAGTCCTCTGGGGAAAACAAGGGTTAGGGCAGAGCTGTATCAGAGGTAATCCCAGAGGGAAGGGGGAGCAGGGGCCAGAGGTCATATTCAAGGATAGAACCTATAGGGGGAACATTTGATTCCAATCTGTCATTCTTAAAGAGTCTTAAATCTAGACTTTCCTCATTCTCTCCAAATGAAATAAATCAAGAGGTCATCCAGAGTTGAAATAAGAGACAATCATCCCAATTTCTTTCTCTCTACATATGTAATCTTAGCCTAGCCCAGGGGTGGGCAAACTTTTTGACTCAGGTAACTGTGGGCACAGAGACTGACGCTGCTTTTTGGGAAAGACGTGACAGGCTCCCTGCCTTTATGGACTTTGCTGTAAAGTACTGCTGTGTCTAATGGCTATATGGCCACTGGCTTCTGCAATAAAGACTCCTTCTATACCCACAACTTCTCATGGCTTCTCCGTCCAAGACAGGGGTGGGCAAACTTTTTGACTCGAGGGCCACAATGGGTTCTTAAACTGGACCGGAGGGCCGGAACAAAAGCATGGATGGAGTGTTTGTGTGAACTAATATAAATTCAAAGCGAACATCATTACATAAAAGGGTACGGTCTTTTTTTTTTTTTAGTTTTATTCATTTCAAACGGGCCGGATCCGCCCCGTGGGCCGTAGTTTGCCCACGGCTGGCCTGGCCACTTGGCCTCTTAACTCAGTTAACCCATCTGAAAATGGGGTTGATAGCAGCACTTACATCGAGGGTCAATGAGAATACTAAATTGGTCGTTACACACAGTATCAGGCGAGTGGCCAGCCCGGGGTAAGAGTGCTATGCCCACATAGCTCTTGTTACTGTTTTTGTCATTCATGGCAGACAGCAGCCCACTGATACATTCTGTTTGCCTCATGTGGTGGTTGATATCAAAACAGTTGCCAGCATTTAAAGAAATAATAGAATTTTCACAGAAAAAATCCTGCACTTTCTGTTCTTCTTGGACAATGAGAACACATGACAGCTTAGAGGATGTGTCTCCAGTTTCCCTGGCCCATTCCATCCCTTGATAGCCCCAGTACCCATGTGGTCACAGCTGTCATTCATCAACTTAAACCTGGTCCCTTTAACAGGGCTCATATGCCACCAGCGCCTACTGAGCCAGTAACATCTTGAAAAACCTCTGCAGTGAGGTCCCAGTAGCTACTTCCATCTCAGCCCTTTTGGAAGACACTTCTTTGCATAAGTTCCAAGGGGTGGCTGGTAACAGAATTACTACTCACAGCCCCTCATTCTCAATGAGTAGCTGGAAGTGCAAAGGCCAGGGTTCCTCCCCACCACCCCGAGTACCTGAGCCTGAACTGGAAAGTATACAATGGACACCCACAAGGGCCCACTTGCCTCAGATTTCCACTTCGGTCGCCTGAAGCCAAGTGTTGGCCATCAGGACTGACTTGCATGACTCGTACCCCGGCTTTCACGTCCATAGGTGTCCCATTCTCACTACCCCGGTCTGGGAAGTGTGACATGTCCTGAAGGTGCTGGATGTCATTCTCTACATACACTACCTTCAGTAGGGTCTGCAGGAAGGAGAGGGCTTAAGTCAGTACTGTGAGATGGTCTGAAACACCTCTGAAATTTTGTATCCCAAGAGCCAGTCTCCCATTCTTCATTAGTAAACAGAACTCCAATTTTGACCTGGGAGGTTCACTACTCAGAATAATAACTATGTTTCCCAGCCTTCCTTGCAGCTAGATGAGGCTCTGTGAACAAATTCTGGTCAATGAGATGTAAAGCAAGCGAGAACCCTTCTGCTTCTTTCTTGCTGCCTGAAATTCACTGATATAATGACCAGAACTCTAGCAGCCATTTTGGATGATAAAGAGCAGAGTGAGAGCTAGAAGGCTCTTGAATCTCTGAGGGCTTCTTGCAGCTGCCATAACAGGAAGAACTGATTACCTCTAGACTATTTTCATGAGTCAGAAAACAAAAAATTTTACCTCTTGTTTTGGGATTTTCTATTGTATACAGCCAAATATCATATGTATATCACAGGTGCAGAAGAGAAGACGCTATAGCATTGGGGTGGAGGTTGAAGGGAGTAGTAAAGGAATACCTGCTATATACTCCCTACATTAATGACCTTTTTAAAAAATATATATATTTTATTGATTTTTCACAGAGAGGAAGAGGGAGGGATAGAGAGTTAGAAACATCGATGAGAGAGAAACATTGATCAGCTGCCTCCTGTACACCTCCTACTGGGAATGTGTCCGCAACCAAGGTACATGCCCTTGACCAGAATCAAGCCTGGGACCTTTCAGTCCACAGGCCGATGCTCTATCCACTGAGCCAAACCGGTTAGGGCATTAATGGTCTTTTTTCCCCAGCACCACTGACTTCTCACCAATCTCTTTCCCACCTCGGGGCCTTTGCACAAGCTGTTCCTTTGGCATGGGACACCTTCCCTGCCCCTCTTCACTTCTACCAATCCTACATATCTCACTGTAGTTGTCTTTCCTCCAGGAAGTTGCCCCTGATGCCACAAGTAAGATCAGATGACTCTGTTATATATCCTACTAGCACTATGCAATTTTCTTTCATGGTGCTTACCATGCTTATGATTATATCACAATTTGTACAGTTATTAGTTCACTCTCTGCCTCCCCCCACTAGACTGTGGGTGCCATGAGTATAGAAGGGTCTATCTTAGTCACTGATGTGTCTCCAGCATGTAGCATACACAGACCTTAATAAGTATCTTCAGAATAAACAAATGCATGATTCAGGTCTCAGTTCCTCAGAGAAACTCCCTTAGTGACCTAGCAATACCAAACATTTCTTCAGCAAAATGTTTACTCCCCAGCCTCACCTCATGGCTCTCTCTGGGGTCCTGCCAGCACCCCTACCCATGGCCTTACTGCATGGCGGCTAGTTGACAAAGGAAGCCCCTGCCTGGCTTGGTTGATGGACCTAAGAGTTCTCCTAAGGATCTCTAACTTAAGACTTGGGGAGCAATTTCTCTTCTGTTGAGTATGTCAGGTTGCCTGGAGTGGCTGGGTAGACACACCTGGACAGCAGCTGCTCACTGGCAGAAAGAGAGCTATTCTACTCAGAAGGAAAGAGAGGGAGAGAGAGAAACAAAAAAGTAACCTGCCTTGGTTTCTGGTTCCTGCCCCGAGTGCAGGCTAATAGCAAGATCCTATAAAACGTCCTCCTGTCTCAATGTCCTAGCTTAAAGCAGGTTTTTGTTCTTCCTAAAAGATGGTTCACCTTGAAGTCACTCACATTACTGAAGATGTTTTTCTGCCAGGGAGAGTCAGGGCTGCTATTTATGTTCCAGAAGCGAATGGTGTTGTCTGAGGAACAAGTCAGAAAAGATCCAGTTGGCAGACAAGCTCTCTGATCTTCAAACTCAGGATACACCTACAGTTCCCAGATAACAAGGCAAAGGGCAATTCATTACAACCATTTCAATGACAGCACTATGATATACTGTTGCATTTTGGTGGGGAAAAGCAAGTTGCAGAGCCCTAGCCAGCATGGCTCCCTGGTTGGGGCATTGGCCCGCACATCAAAGGGTCACGAGTTTGATTCCAGGTCAAGGGCACCTCGTATCTGGGTTTCGGGCTCACTCTCCACTCCTGATCGGGGTGCCTATGAGACGCAACCAGTCGATGTGTCTTTCTCACATTGTTTTTTTTTCTCTCTCCTTCCCTCCCTCTTTCTCTGAAAAGCAATGGAAAAAATATCCTCAGCTGAGGATTAACCAAACAACAAAAAAGTAAGTTGCAGATAAATAAGCATAATTTAATGCTTTCTATGTTAAAAATAAGCAAGAGAAAAGGGACACAAAATGCTCCATATATCGTCCATGTGCCCCATCTTCAGCCCAGGCCGTAAAACATCCCCACAAATAAACATCCAAGAAAAATTGGCAACTCTCCAAACATAAAAGGAAACAAGGTACCATGAGCAAGCAGCAGCAGAAACATCAGACAGAATAAAAAATAACTATGCTTAATATGTTTAAAGAAATAGAACTTTGACAAGATTGAAAGTACGAGTAGCCAACCAGAAACTATAAAGAATAACTAAGCAGGGTTGAAAAAGAACAAAATAAAATGGTTTCTAGAAGTGAAAAATAAACAAGGGAAACAAAAGAATGAACACCCCAAAATTGATGTATTTTTTATACACCAATAATGAATTCTCAGAAAGAGAAACTAAACAATCAAATTCACTATGGCAACAAACAAAATTAGGATACTTAGGAATAAACTTAACCAAGGAGGTAAAAGACTTGCATTCAGAAAACTACAGGACAGAAAAAAAAGCACAAAGTTGGAGAAATATCAATACCAGATATCAAGTTATACTACAAAGCCACAGTAATCAAAACAGCCTGGTACTGGCACAAGAGGAGGCATATAGATCAATGGAACAGAACAGACTTCAGAAATTGACCCAAGCCATTAGGCTCAATTAATATTTGACGAAGGAGGCAAGAACACACAATAGAGTCAAGACAGTCTCATCAATAAATGGTGTTGGGAAAATTGGACCAATAGATGCAAAAAAAAAAAGAAAGAAAGAAACTAGACCACCAACTTATACCATACATAAGAATAAACTCAAAATAGATAAAAATGTTTAGATGTAAGTTGTGAAACCATAAATATCCTAGAAGAAACCACAGGCAACAAAATCTCAGACATCTCTCATTGCAATATGTTTACGGATACATCTCATAGGGTAAATAAAACTAAGGAGAAAATAAACAAATAGGACTACATCAATATAAAAAGCTTCTACACAGCAAAAGAAACCATCAACAAAACGAAAAGGTAGCCCAGTATGGGAAAACATATTTGTCAATGTTACATCTGATAAAGGGTTAATATCCAAAATATGTAAGGAACTCATACAACCTAACAAAAGGAAGACAAACAACCCAACTAAAAAATGGGCAAAGGATCTAAGTAGACACTTTTCCAAAGTAGACATATAGATGGTCAAGAGACATATGAAAAAATACTCGAAATCAGCGATCATCAAAGAGATGCAAATTAAAAGGAATATTAGGTATCACTTCACACCTGTCAGAATAGCTATCATCAACAAATTAATAAACAAGTGCTGGCCAAGATGTGGAGAAAAGGGAACCCTAGTACCAGAATGCAGATTGGTATAGCCATTATGGAAAACAGTATGCATAACTCATGGACACAGACAATAGGGAGGTGCAGACCTGGGGTCGGGCTAGAGGTGTCAATGGATGAAAAAAGGAGACATATGTAATATTTTCAACAATAAAGATATCTTTTTTAAAAATTGGGCAAAGGACCTAAACAGATACATCTCCAAAATGGACATACAGATGGCCAAGAGACACATGAAAAAATGCTCAAAGTCACTGATCATCAGAGAGAGGCAATTAAAATCACATTGAGGTATCACCTTTGACCTATAAGAATGGCTACCAACAGCAAATGACAAGTGCTGGTGAGGATGTGGAGAAAAGGGAACTCTAGTACACTGCTGGTGGGAATGCAATCTGGTGCAGTCATTATGGAAAAACAGTATGGAGTTACCTCAAAAAATTAAATATGGAACTGCCATTTGACCCAGTG